TCTCACGTTCCTCATGCCTGAAGACACACACACAAGGTCACATTACTCTGTCTTGAGACAGTGCCCATCAGCTGCCTTTGTGCACTTTCCATCCTGCAGATAATGAGAGGCACTTTCTTTTAGGCTCATCCTCTTGGTCACGAGCTAAGCTCAGACCAGACTACTGCTTTTGCATGGCTATGAGTGTGCACCAAGCAATAGCTGTGGCTCAGCTGAATTGTTGTAATCTATTCATGGAACTAGCACCAATGTCCTAAGCAGCTGTAACAGCTTGCTTCAAGGACAGCACTTCTTGTTCGACAGTGAGACCATTTAACTTTAAAGCATCTGCTCCTCCAGGCTCCTCTAAGAGCACTGCTTATGCTTTTAGGCTGGTAGTAATAGGCTCTTGACCTCCATTTGGTTCAGAAGTTCTCATTGAGAAGAAATAACACTTCCATGTGGCACAAAGGCTCGGAGATGCTGCATTCAGATGATTCCTTTGGATCAGGGCTGTTTACAGAGCAGCAGGCAATACGCTGAAATGTCAGCCCTCCTTTAGTTTCCTTCCTGCATTTTCATGGGCAGGCATTCCTGACTTTGAACAAAGTAATGAGATTCATCCTGCACATTTGATATCACATTGTCCTCGGGCATTTAAAGGAATTATTTTGCTTTTTTTCTTTTTTTTTCCTCCACAAGAAAGAGACGTGTCACCTCTTTCTTTATCTTTGATTTCACCAAAGGTTCCAATTTGTTCAGCCTATTAAAATCCACCAAGGGAAGGCATCTGAAAACCTTGTTGTGCCTTGCGGACTTCAGTCACAATGGAGTTCACAGGCCACGCTTCCCCTATAATAGAGGAAGAGGTTTAGTCTTGCGAAACCTTGCTGAAATCCATCAGTTTAATTAGGAACTATTTTGCAGGGTTGAAAAATAATTATTGTGCATACAAAGTGGAAATGACCAAAATTGCCTCATTAACATTGATTCATTGTATCCAACATACAATGAATAGAGAAGGGAGACCTGTGATGAATGGAACAGCCTCCACACCAACACGTTCCCCATCCGTTAACAGCTGAATACAGCTCCTTTTGTGGGAGCAGTGGTGCAGAGAGGAGGCAGGGCCAGAGTCAGACAACACAGACCTACACGGTGGTGCCACCTGGCTCCTGTGTATGAACACATAGGTTAAAGATTGCCCAAGGGACCTGTCAGAATCATCCAGAGGCATGGGGCACACAGGCAAAGAGAGAACACCACCCCAGACACGATTCTCCAATATCATAGAATCATAGAACAGTTTTGAGTTGGAAAGGACCTTGGAAGGCCATCTCGTCCAACTGCCCTGCAATGAACAGGGACAACAACAGCTCCATCAGGGTCTCAGAGCCAGAACAAGTCATTGTGCTGAGGGCATGTAGCAACAGTGATAGCAAGATAGCAAGAATCCACACCTCTATCCATGTCTGAATCATGATCATAGAATCATAGAATGCTTTGGGTTGGAAGGGACCTTGAAGATCATTTATTCCCAACCCCCTTGCTATAGGCAAGGATACCTCCCTCTAGACCATGTTGCTCACAGCCCCATCCAACCTTGATGATGAAGAACAGGGTTGGATATCAGAGCAGGTGTAGGATGGTCCAGATGAGAACAGAACTTCTGACAGTGATTTTCAGCCTAGAGCTGCTAAACTCTCCCCTGGGGCTACAAACTCTTGTATAACAGCTGACATGTCTGAGGTAGATGTCACAACTTCCAGGCCTTTAGAGGAGCCATGGACTCCTAGGTAGCTGCACACCAAAGGCTTAAACTGCTCTCTTGGCACAAGGCATTGGAAAATTTTCCCTATCAATTGCAAGGAATAGATGGCCCTCAGAGGTTCCTTTCAGCTTTAAGGATTCTATGATTCTATGATTCTAAGGTGACCTGCCAAGGAAACCAATGTGCTCTCTTGTGCATCCGGGGTTAATAGTACAGTTAAACTCCTCTTTCATCTCCTTTCTGAAATGCTTGGGGAAAAGCCATTTTGCTGATTAGGCACATGAAGCTCAGTGAACTTTTAGCAGGCTGTATGTCAGTCCCTCACAAATGGCACATGCAAGGCAAGTCAGCGAGGAGTCACCTCATCTTATTTTAGAGGCGCAGTACGTCATCTGTTTTACCCTACGGCTGACATCTAAAATGGGTTACAGAACCACTTTAACAGTGGACATTTGTCTTTTATGACTAAAAAAAATGGAGCTGAGAGTGACTCTATCAAATGTAGACATTTGCATTTAGATGTGTGAAGGAAAATGAAGTCAGTCCCAGCCTGAGATGGATGCAGCTGGTGTATAGGCATACAAGGATGCTGTGTAAGGTCAGGAAGACCAATGGCGCAAAACAGTCATGGCTCTGTCCAAGGGGCCAGAAATCCTAGAATCATATTGTTGGATTTGGAAGGAACACTTAAAATAATCAGATCAACTCCCCTGCAGTGAGCAGGGACACCCACAGCTCCATCAGATGCTCAGAGCCACTGAGCTACACCTCCGCTACGAAGACAGGCTGAGGGAGCTGGGCTCGTTCAGCCTGGAGAAAAGAAGGCTGTGGGGTGACCTCGCTGTAGCCTTTCAGTACCTAAAGGGAGCCTACAAACAGGAGGGGAACCAACTCTTTGGAAGGGTTGATAACTGCAGGACAAGGGGAAATGGTTTGAAGTTGAGGGAAGGAAGATTTAGGCTGGATGTCAGGGCAAAATTCTTTACAGAAGGAGTGGTGAGGTGCTGGAACAGCTGCCCAGAGAGGCTGTGGATGCCCCATTCATCCCTGGAGATGTTCAAGGCCAGGTTGGATGGGGCCCTGGACAGCCTGGTCTAGGTCTAAATGTGGAGGTTGGTGGCCCTGCATGTGGCAGCAGGGTTGGAGCTTTGTGATCCTTGAGATCCCTTCCAACCCTGGCCATTCTGTGATTCTGTGATTGAAAAGTCAATTGGAAAAGGGCTATCTGCTTTCATAGTGTGGAAGTGACTCTTTCCTTCTCAGCCATGAAGAGAAAGTATCCTTTCAAAGAAGATCTGCTGCGTTGCCCACGCAAGTGGCAAGGTGTCAAGGGAAACCTGAGGCAATTAGCTGTGCTTCGAGGTAATGCATAATACTGAACAAAGAGGGAAGATAGATATATAGAGATTGGATGTTGGGAGGGAATTCTTGAATCGGAGGGCAGTGATGCACTGAATAGGTTGCTCAGAGAAGCTGTGGAGCTGTTACCCTCTCGCCTGGGAGATGAGGGCCTCGAACTTCTCCAAGGATGGGGCGTCCGCAGCTTCGCTGGGCAGCCTGTGCCAGCTGTGTCTCACCAATCTCGGACTACAGAATTTCCCCTAAAACTTAATCTAATCTCCTAGATTAAAACTACATCAACCCATGTCCTGCCCCTATCAGATCTTGTAAAAAGTCACTCACCACACACACTAGACACCAAATATGCTGTTAACTTGCAGTCTTTACTAGACCCTCCAGAAACCTAGTCCAGACTCAGATCTGAAGTGCTAGCGTGGCACCAGGGCTGCAAGTGTGCCCAAGGGACAGCTGCACTCCAGCATCTGCCACGAGGAGCGGTGCCAGCAGGTTGACGGAGGCTGTCCTTCCTCTCTGCAGCGTGGCAGCACCGGGTCCTCACTCTGTGCTGCCTGCAAGGGCTGCCACCCTCTTGCTCGAGGGCCTGCGCCCACAGTGGGTGTCATAGAGCAGCCATTGCGACGCGTGAAGCTTGGAGCAGAGCAAAGGCTGCCGGGCTCAGGCCAAGCATCAGTGCAGTCTGCTGAGGCACAGAGAGAGCAGGGACTCTCGCAGTGCTCGCTATCAACGCACAATGACGTCCAATGGGAAGAGGAAGGCCTCCTGCACGGAGGAGCCAGGTGAGAGCACAGCATCCCTGTACACAGCTCCCGACGCTGGCCTGAAGCTGAGAGCTGAGAGGGGAGGAAGGGGCAGGCAGGAGCTCCCACACAGGCATGGGGCAGGGCCCCTCTGCTCCTTGGCAAGGGGGCCCGGCTTGGGCCGCGGCTGCCTTGGGCCTGCCGTGGCCCCTTCCCCTCCACTGCCTCCAGCCAGCACGGAAGGCACAGAGCGGGACCCTGGGGACGGCCCTCAGGGACACCTGGCCCTGCCAAGTGCTCACTGCTGCTCACATTTGCTCTCTCCTCTGCAGTGTGTGTGCTGTGTGGCCAGGCAAATGTCGACCTGGACATCTGCGGGCACATGCTTTTTGCGATTGGCCTTCGTGTCCACGAGTTCTGCTTGGTGAGTTCCCCCACGGGCTCCTTCCAGATTCCCGCCGGCGATGCTCCCTTTCTTTCTGTCCTAATGAGATCCTGCTCTTCTTTTCTCTCCTACAGATGTTTGCCAACATCACTTCCAAACCAAGAACTGGGGGCCTGCCGGTTGCTGCCATCACACACAAGGTCAAGCAGGCTAACAAGCAGGTGAGGACCTGTACGGAGCAGGCAGATTTGTGCCAGGAAGGGCTCACACCAGCTTAGTATGGACCCAAGGAAAGCAATCACAGCCCTTCCAACCGCCCCCAGGACAAAGTCCTGCCCATAGGAGATCAGCCCTGTCTCCCAGGCTGCTTTGTAGAGGGTAGCCCAGCAATGCCCACGTCCTGTGCCCTGCCGGAGGTGTGGGGCCGGCCGTGGAAGCCCTGAGCCTGCTGCTGATGGGGCTGCTCTGCTCTTTCCAGCAATGCTGTGTTTGCAGCGAGAGGGGGGCTGCCATCACATGCGCAGAGAGCGGCTGTACACGCAGCTTCCATCTGCCGCAGACGGGGAATGCATCAGCCAGCACTACAGAGAGCACAGGTAAGGGCTGTCAGCAGCAGCCAAGCCTCGGAGCACCTGCAGTTCCACCTGCCAGCGGCCTGCCAGAGCTAGAGGCAGGGCCTGGGCGCTCTTTCCTGGACCTCTGCCCTCCTCGCAGCACTTCTCACCGTGCCCATCCCTTCCATCTTCCCCCAGATCCTTCTGTTGGGAGCACTGCCCTCGACAGATGATTCGGGAAGTTCCAGCAGAAGGCAACAACTGCATCATCTGCCTCGAGCCTGTGGGGGACAGCTTGTCCTACCACACCATGGTGTGTCCAGTGTGCCAGCATGCCTGGTTCCACTGGGCCTGCGTCCAGGTAAGAGCCCTCCCCTCACCCTGCAGGCACGCTTGGCGCTCAGCAGCACCAGGCACTGCTCACGCTCACCCTGCTTATGCTTCTCCTGCAGCAACTGGCACTGAGTGCTGGCATGAACTACTTTGATTGCCCCGGCTGTCGAGACTACAGTGGATTCTCTGAGGAAATGTACATCATGGGGATCCACATCCCACGCAGGTTGGTGTCCTTCTGCCCAGTTCTGCTCACATTAAGGCTGCAGTGCTGCACCTGCCCAGGGACTGTCTCGGCAGGCCTGGCCCTTGGCTGTCGCGTGAACATGTGCCCCAGCCTCATGGAGAAGCTGGAAGTGGAGACGGAGTGGATGAGACGGGATAAGCTTGGATCTTACGCTGGGGACACCAGGGGCTCATCACTTCCCCTCCCTTCTCTTGCAGAGACCCAGAATGGGACAGCTATGAGGCACAGGAACCGCTCCAAGAGAGGCACAGCCGCTGAGATGCCAGCGAATGCCTTTACCATGGAGGCAGAGAGCAGGCAGAGAGAAGGGGGTGAGTTACCGCAGCAGCTCTCTGGGGCTCAGCGGGAGATCTCAGCCTCACCACAGGCTGGGAGAGCAAGGACTGAGCACCAGAGACATGCCGTGCAGGGCACTCCCTGGCCCTCTCGAGTTCCCAGAGCCGGCCAAGAGGACACCATGGCAGCCAGCAAACGCCAGCCCCAGGGGAGCTGAGTGGCACCCACAGATCAACAAGATCTGCCACTTCGAGCTCTCCGAGGCCTTCCAGAGTGCCCGGACGCAGGGGAACATCCAGGCAGCGAGGGCGCACCCACACCCAAAGCCCTCCTCCACAGAGACGTTGGGCTCACCATTCCCACTGCTCACCCCAAAGAGGCAGCGGGAGCCGGGCCCAATGGCGAAGGCTGTCCCAGGAATGAAGCTGCTCCCAGGAACAACTTCAGAGCCAAAGGTCCCCACGGACAGCCCCCGAGTCTACGTACGAGCAGTCGTGTGCCACTCACAGAATGGCCTGGGTTGAAATGGACCACAGTGATCATCTAGTTTCAACCCCCCTGCTATGTGCAGGGTAGAACATGCTGCCCAGAGCCACATCCAGCCTGGCTTTCAACACCTCCAGGGACGGGGCATGCACAACATCCTTGGCAAACCTGTTCCAGTGTGTCACCGCGCTCTGTGGGAAAAGCTGCCTCCTAAGATCTAACCCAAACCTCCCCTGTCTCCATTTAAAACCATCCCTCCTTGTCCTATCTCCCCTACTTACTCTGGTCTTAAAAGTCCAACACAATAAAGATCAGAGATCCCCCTCCCACACATTTGTCAGCTTCATCCTTCCCTGCTTTTTTTTCGCTGAGGCAGGTGCAGGTAGGGACCTTGACGACAGGCTTGTCTCCTCCCCACACCTCACTTCACCTGGCACAGTCCAGGCTGAGCTGGGTTTGGGCCATACCCCCAGCGGGCACTCGGCCCACATTCCTCAAGAACCCAGGGCGCACTGGCAGGAGCAGCCCGGTTCTGGGCTTGTTTCTGGGCTTGGAACGCCACCGTGTTCAGGGTGCACGTCAGTTCCAGGGCTGCTTCCAGCTGCGTCAGAGCCGGGCTTTCCTCCTGCATGCGGGCAGTGCTGTCAGGTCTGAGGGCTGCTTCTGCTCTGGGGATGCTGCGAGCCTCGAGGCGCTGCAGTGCATCGAGTGTGTGCGGTCAGCACAGGGCAGGGCAGGGCAGGGCAGCTCTCTGGGCTGAGCTGTGGCCTCGCCTGCCCAGAGGCCTCCTCCAGCCTGGCTGCACCCACACATGCTGGTGGCCTTGTAAGAAGTGATTGCTGAGCACGTCTCTATCACCTTTCAAATGACAGATCTCTGCTCTCAGCTGCAACGGTTGTTTTTCCTTCCCAGTGTCAGGTACAACGCTTTGGCTTCAGGAGAAAAGCAAACATTGACCAAACACATTGGTTGTTGACCAAACACACTGACCTCTTGTTCAGCCTGGAGAACAGAAGGCTGCAAAGGAGATCTCCTTGCAGCCTTCCAGTGTGGAAAAGGGCATAAGGAACAGGAGGGGAATCAACTTTTTACAAGGGTAGACAGCGAGAGGACAAGGGGGAACGCTTCTAAGCTCAGCAAAGGAGGGTTTAGGATGGATGCCAGGAGGAAGTTCTTTCCAGAGAGAGTGCTGAGGTGCTGGAAGAGGCTGCCCACCGAGCTTGTGGATGCTCCATCCCTGGAGATCTTTGCAGCTCATGGCAACTCAGCAGGCCCTGCAGCCACTGCAACCCTCCAACGCAAGCGGCAGATGCTCCAAGTGCCGTGACAGAGCCTGCAGTTGCTTCAACCCTGGTGATAGGCCCTGCTGTTGTGACGGGCCCGGTGGTTGCTCCAGCCCTTACGCTGTGTGCTGGGGTTGCTAAAAGCCCTGCAATGGGCCGTGCAGCTGCTTCTGCCCTCATGACGGGCCCTGCGGTCGGGACAGGCCCTGCGACGGGAGCTGCAGCTGCTCCGGTCCCTGTGAGAGGACTTGTGGTTCAGCCACAGAACCCATCTGTGCCACTGTCAGACGCCCGTGTTCACAAGACGAGAAAACGGCCTGAGAAAGTCGGCGCATTTGGTAAGGAAATTAACTTTGACTAAGATGGGAAAGGGCGTAGAGGATGAGAACGAAGCCGAGCCATTGCAAGAGATCTGCAGGAAACAGTTCAGGGAGAGGCAGGGACCCGCAGTCCCCTCACAGTGTGCAAGCACAGTGGTTCTGAGGCGCTGTGAGCGGAGCCAGGAGTGACGTGGTCAAATCCTGAACGTACAAAGGCTGTCCTTGGGGAGCGTGGTCAACCAGGAACGTGGCTGAACAGAGCCAGCAAACAGACTGTGGCATGGCTGCTGGCGCAGGCAGGGCGAGCAGGGAAGGCAGAGCCTCCCTGCCCACTAGGGAGACCTCCTCACCCACCGGCTTCCTCCTTGACAACAAACCAAGCCATGGCCTCCACCCAGGAGAAAGCTCTCACCAAAAAGAGCGCAGCTACCCAAACTGAGTGCCTACCCAGAAATACAGCTGTCCAGGTCTCGCAGTGCCTGAGCCTGCTGCTGCCAGCGGAGGCGGCAGAGATACCACCTGCATGAGGTGAGGGCAGGGGGATGGATGGTGTGCTCAGCCTGGTGGCACAGCTCTCGGGGGAGGTGGAAAGACTAAGGAATGCCAGGGAATTGCAATCATAGAACCATTGGGGCTGAAAGGCACCTTTCAGATCATCTAGTTCCAACCTCTGCTATAGGCAGGGATACCTCCCACCGGCACAGGCTGCTCACAGCTCCACGCAGCCTGGCTTTGAATGCTTCCAGGGAAGGAGGGGGCATCCACAACCTCGCTGGGCAACCCATTCCAGTGGCTCACCACCCTCACAGCAAAGCATTGCTCCTAGTATCTAGCCTAAATCTACCCTCTTCCAGTTTACAGCCGTTTCCCCTCGTCCCGTCGCAACATGCCCTTATAAAATGTCCCTCCCCAGCTTTTCTGTAGCCCCCATTCGAGTACTGACGGGCTGCTATAAGGTCCCCTTGGAACCTTCTCTTCTCCAGGCTGCAGATCCCCAGCTCTCTCAGCCTGTCCCCGTCGGGGAGGTTCTCCAGCCCTCTGATCGTCTTCATGGCCCTCACTCCTCTGCAGTGAGCAGCGATACCCACAGCTCCATCAGATTCTCAGAGCCCATCCAGCCTGACCTTGAGTGTCTCCAGAGATGGGCCATCCACCACCTCTCTGGGCAACCTGTTCCAGTTCTTCACTTTCCTTTGTCATAACAAACATTGTCCTTATATCCAGAGACATCCTGGAGGAAGTTTCTGACTGGCTGTGCCCGAGTGCCTCTTTGGATGGATGTGCCTTTTTCAGGCTCTACATGTCACATTCATGTACACAGAAGTGTCTATAAAAATGAACAATTGTACATCAAGGTGCTAAGAAAAGAACTCTTCTGTCCTGTTGGAAACAGGATGGTGTTGTCAGGCCAGTAAAGTCCCTTTCATCTCAAATATCTTTGTTTCCAATTCTTTGCACATCTAATTTTGCACCTCATTGCTCCTAATTGAGTGGTTTTGAAAACCCATCCTGTAGAGCTATCCGTTACTCTGCCACCACCAGTGTCAGAGAAAATAATTTCTGAGACACTTCTGTCCATAAATAATTCTGCTGCCGTGAGGATATCCGCAGGGAGTGTTGACAGCTACCTCATTACTGGCGTATTTCTTGGTTTTCTATCCAGTTCCTTGCTTTCTACCTTCAGCTTCTCCCCAAAAGGAAAGAGCAAGTCTTCCTAAGCAGCATTTCCAGCATCTTCTTCCCAGAGTGGATGCCACAAACAACCATGAGAGCAGCTGTTCCCAGGTTGGGACTCAGCAATGAGACTTCTGGTGCTTGTGTTTGCCTGAGATCGTTCTCAGCATCCAGAATCAGAATCACCAAACTCCTGCTCCAGTCATTACATTCTGCTAATCCAAATTCCACCATGCAGTTTCAGCAGAACGCGTGAGTCTTCATGCTGTTGTGCATCTTTAAACCCCTGCTGTGGTTTATCTCACAAGTTTGGGTGGGGAAAACTGATTTCTGTATATTTGGCCCTAAAACCCATTTGTGAGTTTTGGGGCAAACACCATAACACTGGCTTATGGGGGAGAGGGATGATCAAGATCAGCTTGGTTTCCAGCAGGAAAAGAATCATTACTGAAGTGGGACTTCGGGGATGGTGTTCCTATAATACAATGAATTTATTCACAGCAGCAATTGAACAGAACGGCTCCAAGCTTGCAAGGGAACAAAACTTATAGTCTAAGCTGGCAGTCCAAATACCCAAGCAGCTGCATCATGCAGGCAAACCATCACCTCTTGCTCCCACTTCCCCACAAATCACCACTGTAACACTGACAGCAGTGCAGCATGAATTTAAAGTGCCTACACTGCTTTCCTGCCATGGCAGGAAAGTGCTTGCACCCTCTGGTTCCTCCCACTGTAATATTTAGTCCATAATTAAACAAGCATTGGAGATAAATAGCTGACAGCTTAAAAGCACTTTTTCACACTCTTCTTCTCACTTTGTAAACACAGACCTTACTTCTCCCATAAACTGCAGAGCACAGCTATAACTCACTCTTACCAGCACTGCCTGCCTCTGGCTTTTCTTGCCCAAGTTCCTGCTGTGTGTAATCATTTGGGCTGCCGTTCTGTCTTGAAATTTGCCTTTTTTTAAATCAGAAAATTGCTTTGTCCGCCTCTGAGGATGGATGGAAAGTTCTCTGAGATGGACCTGTTGAAGTACTATCCTAAAGTCAGCAGCATGCTCTGCACAAGGATATGGCTACAACATATGGGCCACCATTTTCAGGAGCGAGTCAGAGAGAAGAATTTGTTGGACTTCTCCAGAATAAATCAGTTTGGATGAAATAATATCATTTTTGTCTTGACTTGGAAACCCCCCCTCTTGCCAATGGAAAACGCTCTCCCAGGGGATGGAGCTGGAGGATGCTGGCACATGGTCAGCTTTGAGGTTTCACCCTGAGCTGCTGGCCCTCCTGAAGCTGCAATGGGCAGTGCTCAAGGTGGGATAGGCTGGACCGTGGAAGGTGCCCGTGGAAGTGGAGCCCTGCCCTGCTATGTGGGGCAGAGGTGCTGCATACAGCGTCCTAGAGCACCATCTGCTGGCACCTTCCCCCAGACGAAGCCTCTGTGGGTTTAAAGGGAGGTGGCCACGGCCAGAACTGCAGAGGGGGTATTGCTGAGAGCAGAGAGGGCTGCTAGCAGCTGGAGGAACCCCACGCTCTCCTGTGGGCCTCCAAGGGAATACGGAAGAAGGGAAAACAGGACAAAGCCTTTTCTTATTGCTGCAGTCAGAGTGAGCAGTGGGCAGGAGCCATCCACACAGCTGAGATGCCAGGGGTGGAGAAAAGCAAAGAGGGTCAGAGCAGGCTTGTTTGGGAAAGCCCACCACCCCAGCAAGGGTTTGGGTCTTGCAGTGTCTCTGATGGGATGTTGCTGGGCTCTACTTGCCCTGTGAGGAAGATTGGCACCTAGGCCCCTTGTGTGTCTGTTAGCATCTATGCTCGGTCTCCCCTTCTAAGATTTTCCTCCTCCAAGATTGACACATCTGAACTAGATGCCTACATGCCCTATTTTGGCTCATTTGCCATGTGACATTCTCAGTCACTTCCCCAAACTTCTTTTTTTCTCCTTTGCTCCCTTTCCATGCATTTACCTTCTACGCC